AAAGGGCCCATTTTATCGCATCTAATTTCCGAGATATTCACGTTTTTCTCTCCACTCCATTTATCCCATTGTTAAATTGATTTTTTGATCTTTTATACGGACGTCACACGGAGAAAAATAAATCGGTAAAAGTCTTGCGATCGCAAGGAGTTTCCCGAAGATCCCCATTTTTCATGCACGAAAAACAATGAAGCTTTTTGGAATCTTCGGGAAATTCTATCCTATCCTACTCAAGTAGGAGCGGAGGAATGAATTTTCAAAATGCGCAGTAACTCCGAACAAGTTCTCATTTAAAAATTAATTTCTCCCCTCCCTAATTGAGATGAAGGAATGAAACCAAAGTGTACAGATTGAGAATTGCATTTTTAATAAATGACATCGGTTCCATTTTGTAATCTCAGTTAGGAGCGGAGGAATGAATTTTCAAAATGCGCAGTAACTCCGAACAAGTTCTCATTTAAAAATTAATTTCTCCCCTCCCTAATTGAGATGAAGGAATGAAACCAAAGTGTACAGATTGAGAATTGCATTTTTAATAAATGACATCGGTTCCATTTTGTAATCTCAGTTAGGAGCGGAGGAATGAATTTTCAAAAGCGCGGAGAAACCCCGAACGGCTCTCCGACGTCGAGTGAGCTCGGAGGAACTCGCCCGATCGGAAAATTCATTTCTTCCACACTAATTGAGATGAAGGATTGAAGCCGATGCCCATCGATCGAGACTTAAATTCTCAATAAATGACAACGAGTTCATTCCTTAATCTGAAGTAGGAACGGAGGAATGAATTTTCGAACGCGCGGAGAAATCCAGAATGGCTCTCCGGCGTCGAGTGAGTCCGGAGGGGCTCCCTTGATTGGAAGATTCATTTCTCCCCCCCCCCCGCCGCCCTAATTGCGAAGAAAGAATTAAAGCAACATCTATCGATCGAGAATAATATTCTCAATAAATGACAGTGGTTTCATTTCTTAATCTCTATTAGGAGAGGAGGAATGAATTTTCAAAGCGCGCAGTAACTCCGAACAAGTTCTTCTCATCCAAAAATTAATTTCTCCCCTCCCTAATTGAGATGAAGTAATGAAACCAAAGCTTACCGATTGAGAATTATATTTTTAATGAATGACATCGGTTTCATCTCTTAATCTCAGGTAGGAACGGAGGAATGAATTTTCAAAAGCGCGGAGAAACCCCGAACGGCTTTCCGACGTCGAGTGAGCCCGGAGGGGCTCTCCCGATTGGAAAATTCATTTCTCCCACCCTAATTAAGATGAAGGAATGAAACCAATGCCGATCGATAGAGAATTAAATTCTCAATAAATAACAGTGGTTTCATTACTTAATCTCAAGTAGGAGAGGAGGAATGAATTTTCAAAAGCGCGGAGAAACCCCGAACGGCTCTCCGGCGTCGAGTGAGTCCGGAGTAGTCCAATGAACGAAGGTCTAACATACGAATGTTTGCTAATCAGGCTCCATTTTTGATACAATTTGTGATTTGGGCGTATCAAACTAATGGCGGATGTTTACGGTTCCCCAAGTTTGTGCGGGGGTTGAAAAAGCCAAAAAAATACCCCTGAAAACGGTTTTTTCGAAATAACTCGTGAATAACGCGCTATACGTCCAAAAATGTAATTAACAAAGTTGTAGAGCTCAAAATTCTACACAAAAAATGTTTGAGGCACGTTACCCCTATTCCCAACCGTTCATCCCCCAGAGCCGCGTGAAAATCAGATGGGACAAAAAAATGTTTTCCATTTAAAAAATTGAAGTTAATGAAATTTTTTTTTTTTGCAATTCGGAATATCAGTGTTTTTTTTTCAATAGATTGTTTATTTATTCAGAGCGAATTTAATATATGTTGCTATTTATATCTTGACATTGAAACGATGAATTTCTTTTTTTTTCTTCCATATTTTTTATTTGAACATTTACCACAAATTTTGTCTTGATCGTACCCGCGAATCTCCTACGGATTCAAAGTTAAACGCAATTTTCCAGGTCCGACCCATAAATTCGGCGCCGGGAATGAGAACCCTTTGTGCGAAAGAGAAGTCTCCGTCTCGCTCCCACTCGCTACAGCATTGTTG